GATAGAATGCTGCTCTCATATCTTCCTTTATTTGGGCATAAAGTACTGCAGCACCAGTCCCTGCTTGCCTTAGCATCTTCCTGTGGTCCTGGACCTTTGCTACCAATATGCGACTAGTCCCACCCAACTACTTCCACTACATGGCTATTTAGATCCCTCTCACTTCCTCAATAAACAAGACTTGATCAGAAAGCCTGTCTTGTCTCTGTCTCTGTGTCTTTTGCCCTGTCTTGTTCATCCCTGTTCCTCCTCCAGGTAATCAACCCACATCCCCACTCCCTGGACGAGTCAAGTGGCGCCCAGTGTGGGGCCTGGCACGGAAGACTCAACGAGGGAGCCATTCGAGGGCGCCAGCTACACAGTGTAAAATGAAAGCAAATTCCGAGGCCAATACCACACGAGTGCCTGCCACGTCCCTAGAGCCATGGTGAGTGAACAGCAACCCCCTTCCCCTTTTCTGGCATGGGTCAAGAATTAAGCGAACATGAGCTCTTTGTTGAAAGCCTTAGCAAGACACTTAAGACATGAGGGATTAAGGTAAAGGAAAATGATTTATTACAATACTTTTAAGTTTATTCATAAGGTTTGCCCGTGGTGCCCATTGGAGGGCATTATTGATTCCAAAAGATGGAAACGAGTGGGCGATACATTACAGGATTTTTATAGAGTTTTTGGCCCTGAAAATGTCCCAGTCACAGCCTTCTCATACTGGAATTTGATTAATGAGATACTTATACAGTGACATGGGGACCCCTTAGTCAGGGTGATGATTTCCCAGGGGGAGGCTGTTCTGCATAACTCAAATAAGCCCATTCCTGCCCCCTCCCAAGCTGATTCAGATGTCTCCTCTCTCTCCGATGAGGAGGCAAATGAAATGTTAGCTAAACTCCAAAATGGCGGTCAGCCCCCACTTCCTCCTTTTGAGTCCTTACCACCTCCCCCTCCTCCACCTGAGGCTCCTCTCCAAGCCCATCATAAACCCTTATGCCCTGACCTTACGACCTTACAAGAGGTCAATTGGGGAGAATTAGCTGAGGAGGCTTCCAAATATCATTCTGACCCTGTTACAGCCCCAGTTGCTGCAAAGTCACCCCCTGATAATAATGAAATGCCCAAATTTACTCCTAAACCCTCCAATGTGCTCTTGGACCTGGAAAACCGAGTGCTTGAGTTACAAAAACAGGTACACTTAGAACAAGAGCGCCAGAGGCTTATGCTACAGTTGCAATCTTTGCGGACTGATCAGACACGTGGCGCCCCTAAAATGGGGCCCAGGTGTAGTAGGCCTCTGCCCAAAATGGCGTTTCCAGTTACAGAAATAATGGGCCCAGGCTAATATGGCGCTGAGCCTCGGGCTGTCAGAGCCCATGCCCCTTTTGCTGTAACTGCACTGAAAGAATTAAAGACCGCAGTTGCTCAATATGGCCCTATTGCAGCTTATACCATCACTGTCCTTGATTCTATGACTCAGGGCTGGGCAAGACCTAACTAAAGCAACTCTTTCGGGGGGCAGTTACCTCTAATGAAAATCTGAGTTTTTTGACCAATGCGAAAGCATGGCAAAAGATAATGTCGATAATGGCAATCCTTGGACCTTTTCCATGCTTACCGGCACGGGTGATCATTCCACTAAGAAGGCTCAGATGCGCTATGACGCAGTTCTCTTTGCACAAATCAATTTGGCTGCAACCAGAGCATGGAAAAAACTCCCTTCAGAGGGGGAATCAACTTTCTCACTGACAAGGATTCAGCAAAGACTGGAAGAGCCCTTTTCAGATTTTGTAGATCATCTTTTACAGGTTGCTGAGTGCCTTTTCGGCACCGCTGATGCAACCTCTGACATTGTTAGACAACTTCTTTTGAAAATGCCAACTCAGCCTGCCAAGTGGCAACTAGGCCTCACAAAAAAAGACCGATTTGTCTGGTTACATATGTTTATGTGCAGATATTGGGCCTTCCTACCATCAAGGCTTGGCTATGGTCGCAGCTCAACAGGGCTGCACAGTTAAACAACCCCTTCTCCTCATTGTGGGGAGGGATGTTCCTCTATCTTGTACCCCTGTTGGGACCCCTCTTTTCACTCTTACTCTTACTCATGATAGGACCTTGTATTTTTCAAAAGCTTACATCCTTCATTAGCTCACGCATAGATGCCTTTGCTGCAAAGCCCATCCAGATACATTATCATCAGCTGGAGATGGCAGATCATCAGAAGTATCAAGAGAGGGTTCCCCCAAATGGACCCTATAATGATGTGGCCTAATCTGATATAGGTCCCCATGGTGAAATGGAAAAGTAGTCAGTGACAGGCAACTAGGACCCACATGAAATGTCACCAACCGCCTAAGACAGGAACAGGGCCTACTGCTGCCCTGCAATCCCAAGACGGGTAAGATCTGGTCGATCTCATGTGAAGGAGTCCTTGACCCAAGCCAGACATTGTCCCCTCAGGGCACTGTCAATTTCCCCCTTGATGTAGTTAATAACAAGGGGGGACATGTGGGGGGTGATGGAACACTCCTCTCATACCTTCCCTTATTTGGGCATAAAATACTGCAGCATCAGTCCCTGCTTGCCTTGGCATCTTCCTGTGGTCCTGGACCTTTGCTACCAATCTGCGAATAGTCCCACCTAACTACTTCCACTACATGGCTACTTAGACCCCGCTCATTTCCTCCATAAATGAGACTTGATCAGAAAGCCTGTCTTGTCTCTGTCTCTGTGTCTCTTGCCCTGTCTTGTTCATCCCCGCTCCTCCTCCAGGTAATCAATCCACTTCCTGACTCGCGATATGAGTCACACACCTCTAATCCCATCCGTTGGGAGGGTGAAAATAGGAGGATCACTATGAGTCCAATCTGTAGTGAAACCCTGTACACTAAATACATTAAAAAAACCCAATACATTTTGGTTATAAAAATTTATAAGCTAGCTGCAGTCTTTTGCTGCCAAAGGTTCCATCTCATACAAAATTCTTTCACATCATCATTGGTGCTTCCCCTTGTGTCATTTTGTGGTAGTTGATTATTGGACTATGTTCATATCTGCTATGGTTTTATAGTTTTATGGTAAATTTACTTTCATCAGTATAAAGCCATCATGTGGCTTTTCTCTGTTGGTGTGGATCTGAACCTCAACTTTATGTGGCCATTACAAATATGAGACTTCTTGCCATTACAACAAAATAAACTATAAAATGCAAATTCATGAAGTCATACTTTGTTGAGCCAATGGCTTATAATAGCTCAGAGATCAGGCAAAATAGGCATAGAAAAAAACTGTCACAGCCAGGGAGATGATGGCATTGATGTTCACTATAGTTTTCCACAAGGGTTTCTCTGATGTGTCTGTGAGTTTCTTCTTAAGGGCTTCTTCCTCTTCTTTGCTCAACTTTGGCCCTGTGTTCTGTAAACCACAGAACAAGTCATAAGTCTTCCGGAGACACCCATGAGATTTTTCAGAATGATCTGAAAGAAATAAAAATAAATGATCTCAAAAGATGGTAAATGGAAGTCATCAGTGTAGTAAGATACTGTACAAAAGGGAAAGCATTTATTTTATTTTAAAGAGAAAAATGGAGCTGAGAAGATAACCTAGTGGTCTCAGCACCTGCCCAAGTGCAAGGAGCTGTTTTTTTTTTTTTTTTTTTTTTTTTTTTTTTTAAGGAGACAGGTTTGATCCCTGGTACCACATGCAGTGCCGGCCCTGGAACCTTGGAGTGGTGGTGCATGCCTGTAATTCCAGAGCTGAGGAGGCTGAGACAGGAGGATCACTATGAGTCTGAGCTGTATAAAATACATACATAAATAAAAAAATTAAAAAAATTAAAGAAAAAGAGAAAAAAACACTAAAAATTGATGTGAAATTTGAAACCAAGATAGGAGAGTAACAGTGGTTAGTATATTGTTTAGTGTTATCTTCAAAGTAGTTATCTTCAGATTACAAGATATAGGCATGAAAAATTTATCAGATGATATAAATAAGAAAAGCCTTCCTTTTCAGTGAACTAACACATTCTTTTCCCTTTCTTTATTTCTCTTTTCTCCCATCCCAGGTTCTCTTTTCTTTCGAAGAGTTTCCTTCCATTTTATAATGTCTATTACATATCACAGGTTTTATCTACTCTTTCAGCTTCACAATAAGGTGCTTACATATGGGAGACTGATTTATTTCACTTATGAGTAACATCTCAAGTTGCAACTATTTACCAATAAAAGTCTCAAATTTATCCTTCTTTATAACTGAGTAGTACTCTGCAGTATAAAAATACTACATTCTTTCTATGCACTCCTTGGTTGAAGAACATTTGGCTTGTTTCCAAGATTTAACTATGACAAATTGCTGTTATGAACATGGGTGCACATATACTCATGTAGTATGATAATTTAATTGTTCTTGAAAAATACTCAGAAGAGAAATAGCTGGGTCAAAAGGGGCCTCCAATCCTAGTTTTTTAAATTCATTTTAATGAGAAAAAAGATAAAATAGCAATGAAATGGTTTCAAAATATGTTAGTAGGACAGTTACAATAATTAATACATTAC